GTAACACTGCAAGTCGAGCACCTGGTTTCTGAATCCAGCAAAGGATAGTTTGCTCACAGAGGACCTACCTTAGAAAGGACAGAAACACAGCAGTCCCGGAAGATGCTGCAAAAAACTCACAGAAGGATTATACACACATAACTACCAGCACATGAAATACATATATATATATATATATATATACAGTGGGTACGGAAAGTATTCAGACCCCCTTAAACTTTTCACTCTTTGTTATATTGCAGCCATTTGCTAAAATCATTTAAGTTAATTTTTTTCCTCATTAATGTACACACAGCACCCCATATTGACAGAAAAACACAGAATTGTTGACATTTTTGCAGATTTATTAAAAAAGAAAAACTGGAACATCACATGGTCTTAAGTACTCAGACCCTTTGCTGTGACACTCATATATTTAACTCAGGTGCTGTCCATTTCTTCTGATCATCCTTTAGATGGTTCTACACCTTCATTTGAGTCCAGAACTTTTTTGAGATGTGTTGATGCCATGAAATTTAAAATCAACTTATTTTTCCCTTAAAATGATAAATTTTCTCAGTTTAAACATTTGATGTCATCTATGTTGTATTCTGAATGAAATTTGAAACTTCCACATCATTGCATTCTGTTTTTATTCACAATTTGTACAGTGTCCCAACTTTTTTGGAATCGGGTTTGTATATATATATATATATAAAATGGATCATACTCACCCACCATGGTTCCCGCGCCGGAACCCCGCTCAAAAGGCGATTCCAGAGAAGCCTCTAGTCCGGACCATCAGTAAGGTGGTTGCTATGAAGTCATAGAACCAACCAAAATCATCATAGGTCCAGCATAGGAGACTGTAATGCAGGAAAGTTCCCACCTAACCTCGGTCAGGTGGAGTGCTGGTGGTTATAGGGGAATTAGGAAGTGGAAGAAAAAGGGCAGATGTGACACCCCCGAAGGAAATGAGTAGAGAGTATCAATATCAATATCACTCTGATCTGGACGAAAGCGCTGACGCCTTGTCTGGATCACATCCCTAAGGTCTTGCCTACCTCACTTTGACCTGCGATCCTCCTACCCCTACCCGCAGGCGGAGGAGGAGCGCGAGCCGCGACACTAGCCTTCTGTGCCCGTCTCTGATCCTCAAACCGAGACGGACCAGGACCCCTATGTTGTTCGGGCTCAGACCTGGACCTTCGTGGAATGAAGGATTTAAAGGCTGCTGAGCGCGCCTTCGCATCCCTGAACTTCTTGACCACCGTCTCAACGGAGGTATCGCAAAAAGTTCAGAAGGCGAAACCGGAGCATCGAGAAGAAAGCCCCTCTCTTTCTTCCCGATATCTGCCAGGTTCACCCACTCTCCGTTACCACCATCGCCTGTTTAGTAGCACGGAGAGCAAGATCTGTGGTGCGGCGCAGCTCAGCTACCTGATCAGGAGAAAGGCCCTCGCCTTTATCCAGGTCTTTCAGCAGATCAGCCTGATACGCCTGGAGCACCGTCATAGTGTGCAACGAAGCCACAGCCTGACCTGCTGCTGCGTATGCCCTGCCATTTAAGCGCGATGTATCCTGTATTGGCTTAGATGGCAAGGAGGGAGTATTAAGGGAGGATGTCTCACCCAAAGAGAGATAGCTAGCCAGCGTCTCTTCTACTGGGGGCATCCTCTCATAGCCGTTTTCACGCAGTGCCTCGATGTTGGCATAACTCGTATGCTGGAATCGATAGATGCGAGAAGAAAACAACCTCTTCCATTCCTTCTCGATTTCAGTATGCAAATCAGGAAGGAATGGAAGGCTCACCTGAGCTGGACGGTTATGGTCAGAAAGATAA